GTTTAATAATATTATTCCATTCATCGATCGATGGGAGATCCATGAGAGTATCATAAGCATTTTCAGAAATATTTTTAATAAGATCATAGTATCTTTTCTATATAGGCCAATTTGGAGAGAAATTGTTATTTCTTAGATCTGTGACGATTCTATTTGTAGAGTCAGCAACTGTTTGAAAATATTGTGCAGTATGAAATTTGATAACATCAGGATCTAAAGCCAAATGTTAATCTAGTGTATTATAATTTACTAAGATACAGTCTAATATGATGGTTTTTCTATTTCTTTCTAAGAAGGAATCTATTATTTTAGTAGAAGCATCTTTGAAATTATCTACGTATCTTTGAATAAATTGATGTATACAATTATTATTTTTTTTTTACTGATGATAAGTTATTTTGCATGTAATAGTTTCAGAATATCATGCTTTAGTTCATGTAAATATAAGAGTAATTAATTGTTATCATAAAGGCCATCTAGTAAACTAGAAGAAATAAGATGTTCAGCTGCAGTTTTAAGAATAAAATTGTGGTCTGTAAACAAATGTAGGAAAGAAATTCTGTGAAGTGGTATTAAAAAAAGAAGGGGACAAGAAAAAAATTTTACATCGATAATGAAGTTTTTGAATTTTATTGATTTGTTTGTGGATTGAGGAATTTAAATATGAATAAAAGGAATTGTGATGAGCTGATGTGATTTGTTTTAGAATGTGTTTAGTTATTAACATCATAACAGTTTAAGTGAAAAACTCACAGGCTTCGTTAATAAACTTGTTTGAAGTGCAGAGGTCTTGGATTGAGATATTACTGAATTTAATATTTTTTTTGAGTAATAGGTCAGCTTTATCTGAAAAGAGATCCCACTAAAGATAAGTAGTCTTATTATAAAGGAAGGATTGTTTTGTAATTTTGTATTACTTTTGATAGGTTGAGAATGTTTAGGAAAAAAAATTTTTTTTATAAAGAGTGACTAATAAAGGGTAATAGTCAGTTGAATAAAGATAATAGGAATCATTTAGAATATGAAATGAAGTGAAATCATATGACAGGTTAGTAGAGATGAAGATATAGTCTATATAGGATGTTGAATTATAGGAGGAAGAAGAATGAAAAGTAGGGGAATATGTGGATTGAAAGGAGGTGAGAGTATGAATGAAACCAAGGTTAATAATATTATGAAGGAAATTTTGCAGCTGCTTTTGAAGTTTAGATCTGTATTTTCTGCTTATATCTATATTAAAATCTCCAATTAGAATATTATAGAAGTTGTGATGTAAACTGTCTATTAAAATGTTCATCAGCCTTTTTTAAACTTGAAGACAATATTGATAATTTTTTTTATCATGGTAAGAAGCAGGTAAATAATCTTGAATGATCCGAAGTTTGAAATTGTTTTTAAATTGAAAGTCAAGGTAAATAATACGATTAAAAAAATGAAGCTTGATTAAAAATATATGTACTTAGATTGTTACGAACTATTGATCTAACACCTTGACAGTTTTGATGTCAATTAGAAAAATGAAAAAAATATTTAAAAGATTTGTTATGAATGTTTTTGTTAAAATAATGAGCTTGTAAAAGGTTAAAATGAGTTTTACTTAAACCTAATATGTCTATGTTAAAATTGTTAAAAAAGGAGTCAATATTTTGAAGTTTGGATTCTGATGAACAGTTTCTAACATTATGTATTGCAAAGAAAATGAGATTTGGATTATGAATAATATTTGTGAAAGATTCGTTTGAAAGAAAATTATTATTATGAGGAATCATTTGATGTGATTCTATACTATTATTTGTTAATTGTGCATTCATTTAGGAGAAGAAGGAAGTGTTTGAAAGATTTGTTGAATGTTATTCACAATATTTTTAATTTTAAATCAGGATTCTACAAATTAATTCTCTAATCTGATAACTTTATCTAGTGAAGATATATTATTTGTAGAATTTGTAGGGGGTCGATCGACTGATAGTTTAAGTGATAGTTCTGGAGAATTATCAAATTCCATTTCACTGTTGTATACTCCTTTAATGTGAACTATATTGTTACATTTTTCTAATTTAGTTATGCAATAGTCTATGTCCTCTTGGTTTTCTTGGAGAATAATGATTTCATTTTTTGTTGTGATAATCTCATCATTAAGAACGATCAGCTTGTTATCTATATTATTTAAACATTTCAAAATATTGTTTAAAGCTGTAGAAACATCTAAGATTTGTTATTGATACTTAGGATTTGTAGGCCTAATTTTCAGAGTATCAGCATATAAACTTCGTGAATTTTGATTTGATTATGCGTTTTTAGTATAATTACTTGTACGAAGATTGGATTTCTGAGAAGATCTATATATCGCAGGTTTGAAATGATCATATAATTGCCTATATGGATTTGAAGGTTTTTGTGAAGCACAATCCTTTACTTCATAGTTAGGATTGTCACATCTTTGACAGTGAAGAGCAGCAGGATTGACCCAAAATAAAATATTAGATTTAAATTTGTGTTGAGATTTAATTGCAGAGTTATAATCATCTTGATTGTTAAAGTTAATAATTATGATATTAGAGATCACATGGTATAAAACATGATTTTGCGTTAATAAAATCAAGGAAGGTTAATAAGTCTCATTGTGTCATATTGAATGGTAATCCAGTTAATTTCATTTTAAATTATTATTATAGAATTAATTGCATGGTATCAAGATCAGTAAGTTTAATACGTATTGTAAAATCTAATAATGGTAAAGACTATACGCCATTGTAAAAGGATTTTATAGCATCAGATAATTTATAGACTATAAATATGATTTATCAGGAATCTCTGGTAATCATTGAAAATCTGGCAATAGTATCACGTTATTGAAAAAATTTTCATATTACATCTTATTTGACAAATAAGAAAATGTTATTGACTTTAATGCATTTGCTTTTTTTAGCATCTATCCGTTGTTTTTTAGCAGATGGATCAGCAACCACAAACACGAGATTGTGTTGTATTTCCTGAACTTTTATAACAGCATATGTAAGTTGATCAAGAGTTTGAAAGTAAACAAAAAATTTTCTTAATTTGAAGTTATACGAAGCTTCTTAATAGTCAGGAAAGTTAATGAAAAGCCTATTAATGAAATTTTTTTTATCAGCAATAGATTTGCCAGTAATATCTGCAGCATCATCAGATGCAAAAAAACACGATGGTAAGGTAATAATATTAAAAGCAGTATCTTTCACTTTAGTGTCACGTGATTAGTCAGAATCGTTTACATTGCTTTCATCTTGGTCTGCCCAAGAGAGTTGTTTGTTCTTTCCTTTGTCAATGGTAGATGTAGATAAAGATTGACTGGTATTATTTATTATGTTCTTTGCATGTATAGAATCATTTGTACTAAATCCTTGTGGTAGAGAGAGTGAAGTTTTCTTAGTGGAATCTATTTCCATTTCGTAGACTTTAGAGTTTTCAAAAACAAAGTTTTTTTGAGAAGTAGTAGAAGTATTTTGTGTAATAGTTAGTGTTAGTTAAGTGGTATTTAGAGTTTCTGTAACTGTTGGGTGGTATTTGGAGTTTCAGTAACTGTTGGAGTGATATTAAGTTTTGAAGTTTCAATTTTTTGTTTTTTGTATTTTTAGTAACTATATCATTGTTTTTGTTCTTTTCATGCTCGTTAGAGGATGAAGTACTAGGTTTTTTACTATTATCTAAAGAGTTTGAAATAGTTTTATTGTAAGGTTCAGGTTTTTTCCGTATGTACTCTGTCTTTTAATTATTGAAGACATTTGGTTGAAAAGATCAGCAGAAAGAGTTTTTTTATTTTCTTGTAATTATTAGTTAATAAGTTATTTTAAAAAATTGAAAAATTAAAAAATTAATATATATTAATAAATATTAATTTTAAAAATTTAAAAATACTATCTTTAGATAGATCTTAATCTGGCAAATCTAATAAACTTTATTTCATCTTTTTATAATCACTAGATATTAAAATATTATAATTTTTCTAAAATATTTTATAGTCAATTTATACCTACGCTTTAAGAAATAAGAGTCAAGTAATATAAAGATAAAACTGGTAACAATAAAGACTAGCCTAAACTTAGACATCTATAACTTTTAACTGGTCAATATGAATGAAAAGTTTTGAGATTAATTGTAATAGGTAATATAACAATATTATTATAATTCAAAAAGAAGAACAAATTGAAGTTAGTAAATATACAATAAGAGAATTTTACATAGAAATGAAATGAGTATAAGAGTTAAATGCAAAAAACCATATCTTTGAAAAATATATAATGAAATTTGCAAAAAATACAAATTATGAACAGTAAAATGGTTTAGTCAGATAAGTCAAATATATAATTTATTGTTGAAAAAAGCCAGAAGAATCATTAAGAGACTATCATATTAAACTTACAGTTATATTTGGATGGGTAATATTATGGTGTAGTGATGTTTTATATCTGATGGGATTGGTAACATATTCTGAATTTATGGATATATGAATGGTGATTTATATTGTCAAATTTTAAAGGAAGACCTATTATGAATCATTATGTAGCATTGGGGTGTTCCATCAACTATGTAAATCAAAACTTATGTAAAGTATCATATGAAATTTACTATTAGAGATTTATCATGATAAACTATAACCATTAAAGTTAAACTGAATTTATAATAAATTTCTTATTAAATCGATACCTTTTTTGAACTTCAATTACTTTAGATTCTTTTCATTAATTTCTTTTCAAATTTCACAAAAAGATCCCAAATAACTGTTTTTGTGTAATAAATCGCTTTTTTTTAAAAGAAAGCCATTCATATTTCAAAAATAATAAAAAAGCTATTTCTGAATAACTTCTCTATAGGAAAAGTTTTTTGTTTTTAAACATTTTCAAAAAAGCAAGGTATTGCATTGCTCTTGAGGTTTTCACAAAATATATTTGAATTTTATTATTATATAAATGTCACTAAAAGTATGTGTAATTGAATTTTATAGATTTCAGATTTTTTTAATGGAGAGACTTTCACGTCATGCTCATCACTTGAAAAAAACTCACAAAATACAAGCTCAAAAATCAGAAGCAAATAAAAATGATAAAAAACAAAAAATCAATGAAATTATAAGTGAGATAGATAAACCAAAACTAGACAATGTATTAGAGTAAATAACAAAACTGAATAATTTAGAAATAACAAAAGAACGGTGTACTCTTTATACAATAATTAATGAATTGTCAGAAATGAAAGTTAAGTCAACCAATCACCTTTTAAGTAAAATGCACTATCCAAAAGGCAAAAATCAAGGCCGAATCCTTTCCACCCATTTGCAAGGCAAAGCAGCTGAATTTATAACATGTTTAATTTACAAACCAAACTCCTCTGTTGCAGCATTAGCTAAAGAGAATTCAATTATAAAAAAGTAAGTTAAACAATTAGAAAAAAAGAACTCTAATACACTTTATCAAATTCAATCACTTGGTGGCAAACTTGGGCGTGTAAGAAAAAAATAAACTAAACAAATTGCAAAAATTCATTCTAATACAAGAAAAAAAAAATCTTTTTCAAGCAATTCAATCAAACTATATCTCAATTCTCTTTTTTTAGATAATGAAAGACACTATAGTAGTAAAGCAATGATATTAACTATACGCTTATCTTAGATTAGAAGAATGTCCTTTCGTGATACTATACAATATACATGAACTTTTATAGAATTTCTGACTAATGAATCAGCTTCTTCAGCATTTTCATTATATTCAATTATACGTTGGAACAAAGAAATTTCAGAATTAAAGACAAATTAATTCTTGCATTGCAATAATTCAAAATTTTATACTCTTGGTATTTTAGCTGATGAATCAACAAGAGGTTCTGCAAAAGTCTTTATAATTTGTTTTATGTATTGGAATGAAACAAAGAATTTGCCAGATGTGTCATTGGTTGAAATGAAGGATTTGATTACCTGTGATACAAAAACAGTTGCTTAAACAATTATAGATACTTGTAACAAATATTCCATTGATACAAGAATATGTCAAATATTTCTTTCAAATAATACAAATTATATAGCAGGAAAAAATAATGATGCAGTTAAACTTTTTGCTGAAATAACAAAAAAATCAATGCTTTCGAATTCTTTGTAGTCTTCATGTTGCTCATATTATTTTTACTACTTTTGAAGATATTGCATTTGAAAAATTGACAACTACTATAGGATTCAGTAAACAATCTTATCCATTTAATTTACTCTATCTGGTATGGGAACTTCATAATGGATATGATAAGACTAATAAAGATAAGCCATTAGGAATGAAAGCTGAAATAATCTATGATCTTTACAAAATACTTCTTAATTTTGATATGAATCAATATCAAAAACCAATGCGGTCACGTTGGTTATATATATTAAAGATAGCTATACAGTTTCTTGAATGTAAAGAAGCTCACAAATAATTTGTTTGATGGTTTATTCCAAAATTATGTTTATTGAAAAACATACCTAAGGCCTATTTAAGTAAATGGAAATTATTTGAGATATGGTTAAATGATTCTCAATTAGATATTCAAATCAAATGTCTTGTAAAGTTTGGAAAGGAATTCTATGAACCAATGGTAACTTTCTAAATAGGTATGATGCTCAACCTAGAATTTTTATCGAACATAATAAATTTGATCAGCTACCTTCAGGTCATAGAGCTCACCAGATGCCAGAAACAGTTTTAAGATGGATTAAAGATCTTAAATTTATTGCTAAAAACATACACGATTTTTTTATTGAAGAGTTAATAGAGGCAACAAAAGTATTAACAGAGCAACAAATTGAAAAACTAATTGGAAATTTAGAACTTGCAGCAGAAAAATCATTGAAAGTTTTTCAAAAATGGATGAACTGTTGGCTTCACCTTCCTTTAAGTATTTGTTATCTTGGTGGATCCTATGGTCATGAATTTGCTAAAGCATATGCAAATGTCGTTCTTGATTTATATGGGTCTAATGTTCCAACATTACGACAATTAGCATATATGAAATTCTTAGAAAGTGATATTGAAGAGGGCATAACAAATGATTTTGGTCTATTTGATGCTTTGACAGATC